GGTCCGCTTGGATGCTTACGGACTGCTGCCATTTCCTGTTTTGACTTCGAGTGCTCACTTGGAAATCTGGCATCGACAATGAGATTCATCAGCTGCATCGTTACCGTCGTGCTAGCGCTCACAGTCGCCACCAGCAGCGCCAACACAGTCGAAGAAACTGGCGTCAAGGCCCGCCACATGCTGGCCATGGGCGACGAGTCCGTCATGTTCGCGCGCGGCTCACTGCGCAGAGAGGAGGAGACGGATTAAATTTCGCCACACAGGAACAGAAACCTCTACATCTGTCACCGCGAACACTCCAAGCGAACGGGATACAGAACCTGCCTCATTGCGACACCTTCCTCAAACACTACTTAGCTGACACGGCAACGGCATAAACCAACGCACGATCAGAGCACTCGACGGTTGCTGAGCGATATAAGCCCGACAAGCTGTAATCTACTAATCTATTGTTCGCACATTCGTGGCATTGTTCATTGAGTTCTTGTGGATCGTCAGTGGCGGGAGTGGTTTTCGTCGTCTCGTGGATGGTGACATCGTAGTAGGCGACCACGAGACGACGAAACCACTAGTAGTAGTAGGCTGCAGCATTCATCGGCTCCAGAATGAAGAGGAAACTGAAAGCCGACAATACTTCGTCTGCACTTGATGAAACCAACCACAATAAAATTCTCTAGAAAGAATATTTATTGTGGTTTTCAGCAATTTTGCCGATTTGCTTGGTTTAAACAAAACGGACAGAGACTAGGGTAAGTAGGTCCGATTTAGCTAAATCTGATCAGACGTAGGGACTAAGGATTTAATACTACTAGTACTACTTTCAAAAAGCGAAAACGAAAACTGTAATTGCAAATAAATAGCTCAGTCTTGACGCTGATCGAACGATCGAATCGATCGTTTGTTCGCAATTTCGTGCGATTATCGAGGCCACCGCTGAGCGGCGCTGACTCAAGTGGTGTGCCTGTTCTCCAGAAGACAAGTACATCGTGCTGCTCAACCATTTCGTTCTGTCATTTCCTCGGATCCATCGGGTCGCACATTGGTGTAGCTGTTCATCCGTCTGTGACTGCAGAGCCCAGCTGGCGCTTTCAAAACCACAAACTGCAAGAAACTTGACGGGTTCATTTGCATTGAGCTGCATAGACGCAATGAAAGCACGGTGAGACCAGTCACCCCGGTCTTTCGATCCGACGCAGTGGCATTTTGTACGCACGGCTGCTGACTCACGTCAAATCGCAGAGCGCTACAATTCGACCGCACTAAGTTCCGCCTTGGCCCTTCTTGTCCGCAATAAAACGACCAGAGAGCTAGAATTTGGAGTTTGACGGTGCAAATGTGTCCCTACGCGCGCTATGTGCTGTGCTCATATCCCTGTCGTGACATTTCCAGATGACAGATGCCGAAATGGAAATCAGCGCTGTGGCTGGCAATACCGCAAGACAACAGAGCATCAGTGCCTCAGATGTACCAACGTTACGCCGCCACAGCTGGAGCTCGTGAAAGCAACGAACAGCAGACAGAGAGCAACGACGGTGAGCTTGTTGATGTGTCTGTTCAAACGAAACATGTCGAACCGCTTCGTTTTCATTTTCCAATTGGCCTTCTCCAGCCACAGTCCAGCGGCTTCAAGACCAACAAGAAACCATGCGTCTGTATCACGCTCTGCTCGTGACTGCGGTTGCGCTGCTCGCCAGCAACGTCTCCGCCAGCTCGACCGACTGCGCAATGACTCCTATCGAGACCACCAGCGGATCTGCTCCCAAGGACTCGTTCGACGGCTTCGACTCGTCCAACGACTCTCCGATCCAGCAGGGCTCCACTACCAGCTCGGATGTTGGTTCCAGTCAGGAGGTGTCCTCTGCCAGCGGTTCATCGCCGAAGGACTCGTTCGACGGCTTTGACTCGTCAAACGACTCTCCAATCCAGCAGGGCTCCGCCCCCGGCTCAGACGTTGGCTCTAGCCAGGAAGTGTCTTCGGCCAGCGGATCTGCTCCCAAGGACTCGTTCGACGGCTTCGACTCGTCCAACGACTCTCCTATTCAGCAGACCAGTTCGGATGTTGGTGCCAGCCAGGAGACCACCCCGGACTCCCCGATCCAGCAGGGATCTGCGCCGACTGATGCTTCTTTCATCAGCAGCTACAGTGGCCCCACTCCCGACTTCCCTGACTATGGTCAGACTACGGACGCTCCCGTGGCTCAGGGATCGGATGTCGGTGCCAGCCACGAGGTCTCGTCAGCCAGCGGTTCATCTCCGAAGGACTCGTTCGACGGCTTTGACTCGTCCAACG